ATAATTCCTACAGCAGGAAGTCAACAGATGTCTAAAACTGATAAATCAAGAAGTATCACTCTAAGCATATTATTTAGAAACATGGGGGTAAATACCAGACAAAAGTGCTAAGAGTTGAAAGTGGTCTCTCCCATGGGGCAGGGCTTGGGGTAGGAAACTGCTTGCTAGTTTCCTTTAAAAAGCCTTTTGATAAAAAATCAGGCACATATATTCCTTTAATTGAAAAATGATTTATAAAGAAAAAAGAGGGGTGCCTGGGTGGCTCAGTCAATTATGCGTCTGACTTCGGCTCAGGTCATGATCTCAGTGTTCTGGAATCAAGCCCCACATTGGGCCCCAAGCTCAGCATGGAGTTAGCTTCTCCCTCTGCCCTCACCCCCTTGCTCATACTCGCACGCGCGCGTGCTCTCTCATATAAATAAAATCTTGAGGGCGCCTGGGTGGCTCAGTTAGTTAAGCGACTGCCTTCGGCTCAGGTCATGATCCCGGAGTCCTGGGATCAAGTCCCACATCGGGCTCCCAGCTTGGCGGGGAGCCTGCTTCTCCCTCTGACCCTCTCCCCTCTCGTGCTGTTTCCCTCTCTCTCTCAAATAAATAAATAAAATCTTTAAAAATAAATAAATAAATAAAATAAAATCTTGAAAGAAAGAAAGAGTGGGAGAGAAGGAAGGAAGGAAGGGGGAGGGAGAGAGACAAGAAAAAAAAGAAAGAAAAGAAAGAAAAGAAAGAAAAGAAAGAAAAGAAAGAAAGAAAGAAAGAAAGAAAGAAAGAAAGAAAGAAAGAAAGAGAAAAAGAAAGAGAAAAGGAAGGAAGGAAGGAAGGAAGGAAGGAAGGAAGGAAGAAAGGGAGGAAAGAGGCACCTGGGTGGTTCAGTCATCTGACTTCGGCTCAGGTCATGATCTCAGGGTCCTGGGATCGAGTCCCAAGTCGGGCTCTGCATTGAGCGTGGAGTCTGCTTGAGATTCTCTCTGCCCCTTTGCCTCCACTTGTGCTCTCAATAAATAAATAAATAAATAAAATCTGAAAGAAAGAAGTGCCTAAGGAAGGAAGAAGGAAGGAAGGAAGGAAGAGGAGTGCTTGGCTGGCTCAGTCAGTGGAACATGCAACTCTTGATCTCAGGGTTCTGAGTTCAAGCCCACACTGGGTATGGAGCCTACTTAATTTTTTTTTAAGATTTTATTTATTTATTTGACAGAGAGAGAGAGAGAGAGAGAGCGAGAGCAGGAACACAAGCAGGGGGAGTGGAAGAGGGAGAAGCAGGCTCCACACTGAGCAGGGAGCCTGATGTGGGACTCGATCCCAGGACCCTGGGATCATGACCCGAGCCAAAGGCAGATGCCTAATGACAGGCACCCAGGCAACCAAGCCTACTTAATTAAAAAAAAAAAAAAAATTTAAAAAGAAAGAAACAGATCATTCAAACCAAAGTCTAATGTAGTGAACTTCTGTTGCTTTTGCCACACAGCTTCCATCTTCCTCTACCAGTAACAGCACTTGGGTTTTGCTTTGCACAATCTCCCTTCTTTATAGGATAATCTGGTGGGCCTATCCATCAAGGAACCGCATATCGCCCTGGCCAAAGTGGGTGAGGGACCAATGACACCCTCTCCTTGGAATCTTGAACAGAATGGCAAAAACACCTGGAACCAATTCACCCAGATATAGAAACCCTCCATTAGTTCCTTCCATTTGGCCAGATCCCAGACTCTCCTGGTTCACCCTTTTTTTTAATTGAAGTACAGTTGACACAATGTTACATTAGTCTCAGGTATGCCACACAGTGCTGTGACAAGTCTATAGTTATGCTATGTTCACCACCAACGTAGCTACCAGCTGTCACCACTGACTGCTATTATAATACCACTGAAAAACAGAACACTTCACAACTTTGTATGGCACCCTGGCACAGGGACCATGCTAATCTTCTCCATATCGGTTCAATTTTAGTACATGTGCTGCCAATGCGAACAGCCTTGGTTCGCACTTTTTTTTTTTTAAGCTTTCTCTTACATTCTGTGACTGCCCGTTTCCTTCTAATAAATTCCTCTTCTACTTAAGTTAGCTAGAGTCCCTCTCTGCTGCTTATTACCAAAGGAACTTGACGGGAACGTCTAATAAAAATGTCTGAGGTTTGTTTGTGCTTCTATTTGCCATTATAACTTACTACAGTGGGTTGCAAACTCCTCTGACCTAAAAAATTTTACCTCAAGATCTAGTAAGCGCGCGCACACACACACACACACACACACACACACACACACACACACACACATATTATGTATACATACACATAACTGAAACAAAACTTTTGCTAAAAATGTCCACCCTAACACTGTGATAGTGCTAATTCTATTTCTTTTGTTTTGAAGACTTTATTTTGTTTAGAGCAGTTTTAGATTTATAACAAAATTGACAGGAGGGTACAGAGATTTCTCATATACTCCCTATCCCCACAAAGGCATAGCTTTCTCCATTACCTATATCACTCACCAGAACAGCACATTTGTTACCAGGAATGAACCTACACTGACACATCATTATCACCCAAAGCCCATGGTTCCCCTTAGGGTTCACTCAAGTAAGGTGAATAATGTGCATTCTGTGGGTTAGGACAAAAAGAAAATCCTCTGTGCTCTATTCCTCTCCCCTCAAAATTCCTGGCAACCACTGATCTCTTTATTATCTCCACAGTTTTGCCTAGTCCAGAATGTCATATAATCAGAATCCATTTCTTTTCTAATGCTAGGGTTCTAACCCACTAAGTTGACTTCAGACCCACTGGTAGTGATGATCTGCAGTATGAAAAACATTGGCTCACCGTACCTGCTGCATCTGCCTCCAACAATAAAAATAAGCCAGAGAGGTATTAGCCGTATTTCCACGTCCAAGCGTGATGCACCAACACACACAGCCTGGCCAGCAGGGAAACACCAACAGAGTCCCAGGGTCCTCACTCCCACTAGGACACACTAGTCAGTTAAATTGTCTACACTACTGACACCAAAGAGAAACATCTGTTCATTTACATATTCATTCACTCACTCTGAGCATGCACTGAGCACTCACTCGATGGTGTGAATATACTACAGCTTCCTGGGGACTGTCCAGAGCCATAAATTCTATCTTCAGGCTGGCTCAGAGGACAGGAATCCGGGGACAAAGTCTATCGCCTGATTGATTGTTTACCACCTCCTCCCCCTCCTTAACAGCTCAGGAATGTCTCCAAGAACAGATTCCAGCAATGCTTATTTCATTCACATATTTGAAGTAAAATACCTCTAAAGTCCAGTCTATGGAAGAAGGAATAAAGGGAATTTCTATCTCCCCTCTTTCTAGAGGTCTCTGATTAGCTTCAAACTAATCCATGGCTGGATACTGACTGAATTCCTTGCTCACTATTTTCCTACTGACTCTTTCTCCCCCACGAGGCAACAAAATATCAAGGGACAGAAGAGTATGTCAAATCATTCTCAACAGTACCAATACATTGGTCTTAGGACCCTTCTGGATCTTTTTTACAGCCAACAAAAAGAAGCCCAACACCCCTCGCCTTTATTTTCCTCATACTCTTTTCCCTGTCTTAACCATTCCAAAATAGTGAGTAAGAGCACACAGTAAGTGTTGTGGCTGACATAGAGGATGGGTTTCTTTATTATCTTCAGAGTTGCATTGCTGGGGGAGTGGTGGGTTGGGCAGTATCAAGACCTGTAATGTGGGCAGAAACACTCAGACTGGACAGACATGGAGAGGGGACTGTGAACAGAATTAAGTGATCACCTGTACTCTAAACTTGAAAGGAGAAACTATTCTACCAGTTATTTTGAGTTATTCTGAAGAGCCATAATCAGGGTGCAGCTGGGTTAGCTCCCCCAGGGGGCATGCTGAGACTGGAACCCAGGAAGGGAATCAGATACAGAGTGGAGGGAGGGGAAATGGAGGAATACAAACTCCCCATCACCGTGGCTCCCATTTCACTCTCACCCACAATAGCTTGAAAATCGATGAAACAGTACACACCCATTCTGGGTCAAGTTCCCCAGCAAAGCCTAGAAACAGTCAGCCACAAGTTACCTCCCTCTGCCTCTGGAGGAGAAAAACCATATGGTCACCTGGGGTGGGGAGGAGAACAAGGACAGGGAGCCAAGGAGTGAGGGGAGCAGAGCAGATGTGTTAGCGCTGGAGAGCGCCCCTCTCTCCCCCACCCTCACTAGGTCCGGAAGCTCTCGCGTGGGTCACTTCCCTTCCCTTTCCAGCCTGGTTTCTGGCATCTCCTTCATCCACTTGCACGCGGTTTGGTAGCTGGACCCGGAAACAAAGTGAACAAACCGTCCCAGGAAGCTACCTGTTGGCCCATGGGGGAAGGGGAGCCAGGAGAACTGCAAGGTGAAGAAATCCGAGCAGAGAGGTTACCCCCAAGCGGACAGCCCCATTCCTCCCAGCGAAAAGTGGAGTTCCTGGCCAATCTCGGTGTACCTGGAGTCCTACCGCCCCACCCTTCGGTCCAAGCCCTAGGATTTCACTCTCTACCCTTTGTCTTCTTACCGACCACCCAAAGCACCATTAAGTTCTTTGAAGGGCCTCTGACACCACCAGGACCCACAGAAAAGCTTAATCTCCCCCGTCGGAGACCCGAAGTACAAAGAGCAGAGATCCCGTTCTAGGAGCTCATTTCTCCTACGACCCAATCTACTGTTCACAGGACGCCTGAGTAGCGCGCACCGGATACTCGCGCGGGGTCCGGGCAGGAGCCGCAGTGTCCTCCCAGAGGGCAGGGATGCCCCGACTCCCCGAGCCTCGAAACAACCTTCCTGCCGCAACTCCCCAGGACCCCACTGCCAGCCACGCGGAGGTAGAAAAAGAGAAAGAGAAGCGCCGCGAGGAGCCGATGGCACCAAGCCGGCCCCAGGTGATGTCAGCGAACTCCGCGCAGGGCACGGGAGGGACGGAACTGCAAACCGAGAATACCGGGCGGGGGAGGCTGCGCGGCCGCTCTCTCTTACCACGGTCTGCCCCTCCGGGTGCACGTCCACCAAGGTACACCAGTTCCGCGTCCCGTTCATCTTATTCGCGCAGGGGTCACAGCGCGGAAGCCTACTGCCCGCTCCGCGGTCCGGCGCCTACTAGGCAAGCGCGCGCGGAACCGCCCCCTTGTATAGGCGCGTCGGGGGCGGGGACTGCTGATTGGACACGCCCCAAGAATGCCGTTCGCCAATGTGAGCATAAGAGCGGGATGGGCGTGACCCAGAAGCATCAGAACACGCCCATCTGCGCTCGCTCAGACTTACATAAAAATGGGGCTCAGAGGCTACCTCAGGCTACTTAACCGAAATTTTGTCCAGCGTGTGGTTGCGTCTCAAACATTCTTCGTTAATCTTGCTGTTCCCTCTTTTCAACTCCAAGGTCGGTGTTGGTTAGAGAATCACCCTGCCTGCCCCTTAGAGGATGAGTTGGAAAAAAGCTTCCCTACATTCTCCTCTCCCTGTATATAGGTCACCTTTGAGGAGCTCAGCATGGTAGAAATGCAGGCACCAGAGGCCAACTCACTCAAACTGGCCTAAGCCAGTCTGACAGGTGCCCTGCCCTGGCAGGAGGCCCAGGCCAAAGTCAAACCAGCTTGGCTCTGGGTGGGGCTTGTTTTGTAGAAGCTATTATACCAAAGCTGCCCTTATATGGTCGGGAGAGGCGGGACACGTTGCCTTAAAAGGATTTTGTATTCTTGAGAAAGGATGAGCCTCGACTTCTCTAATGGCGTCTGCTCCCCAAGCCCAGATTATCATCTTAAGGGCCCACAGGAGAGGATGGCCACGGACAGAGTCACTCCCAGCCCGATTTTTCTCTACAGGTTGGCTGCTCCACTGGGCTGTGTCCACATGGAAAGCAGGCAAGAGGTCTGACCCACTCTTGAGTGGGCAGTGCCCCTGAATCTGGCATTAGGCTCTGATGAACAGCTAGCTCCCTCTTCAAGGCAACACAAGAGCAGGAATTTTGCTACCTTCCAGGTAGGGACTGGGTCCCATTCCAGATGGGAATGAATGTCTTTGTACAGGGGAGGTGAATGCTGGGGATATCCCTGTGCCCCAAGGGAGTAAAACCCAGTTCTGTCTCCTTTAACCCTCAGAGACAGCATTTACTGGCCTTTCTGTTCCCAGAAAGTTGTTTCGGAGAGAATGGAGGTGCTATAAACACTTGGTTCCCTAGGTTCCATCTAATCAGCTGTAAGGAGCCTCTAAAAAGTGAGGCAAAGAAAACCCCAGCTTTAGCCTCTAAGTTCTCTAGTTAAAATGGTTTCTTCATAAAGGGGAGCCCTCTTACACTGTTGGTGGGGATGCAGGTTGGTACAGCCACTTTGGAAAAGTGTGGAGTTTCCTCAAAAATTTAAAAATAGATACCCTATGACCCAGCAATTGCACTACTGGGTATTTACCCCAAAGACACAGATGTAGTGAAAAGAAGGGCCATATGCACCCCAATGTTCATAGCAGCAATGTCCACAATCGCCAAACTGTGGAAAGGGCAGAGATGCCCTTCAACAGATGAATGGATAAAGAAGATGTGGTCCATATATACAATGGAATATTACTCAGCCATCAGAAAGGATGAATACCCAACTTTTACATCAACATGGATGGGACTGGAGATTATGCTAAGTGAAGTCAGTCAAGCAGAGAAAGTCAATTATCATATGGTTTCACTTATTTGTGCAACATAAGGAATAGCATGGAGAACACTAGGAGAAGGAAGGGAAAAATAAGGGGGGGGATTGGAGGGAGAGATGAACCATGGGAGACTATGGACTCTGAGAAACAAACAGGGTTTTAGAGGGGAGGGGGGAGGGGGAATTGGTTAGCCCAGTGGTGGGTATTAAGGAGGGCACGTGCTGCGTGGAGCACTGGGTGTTATACGAAAACAATGGATCGTGGATCACCACATCAAAAACTAATGATGTATTGTATGGTGACTAACAATAACATAATAAAATCTAAAAAAAATAAAATAAAAATAAAATTATTTCTTCATAAAACAGACCTCCAAATAAGCCACGGAAAAGAATGGGAAGGCAAGGTTTCAGTATAGATATATAATTTTAATATTTAATTTAAAATAAAATCAAGTTTGGGTTGGTTTGGGAGAAAATCTCTAATTTGCAGAATAGAAGATTTAAAAGAAAAAATCATGGAATTACAAGTCATTGGTGAAAACAGCCTTCTTCCTCCCTCAGGCTCCTTACAGAGCCTGCTTAGGAAATAAGAAAGGTAAATCAGAAGGAAGAGAGGTACCTATGGGCATTGTACATGAAACTAAAAACAAAGTATGATTTTATAAATAAAGAGAGATGGGGGGGAAAAAAAGGTAAATCATCTCCCTTACCTCCTCCCTACCAGGGCTTGACTCTCCCCAAAACCCAAAGGAGGAATAAATCTTCCATTGCCTCTTCCCATTTCTACCAAGAGTCAGTCTTTAGCCCTAGGCAGGAAGCCGTGTGTCAGGTCCAAGCTCCTGAGATGATGGTCCCCTGGTTCCCCACTGAGCTTGGGCACATCTGGGTCAGAGAAGCCACAAGGAAGACCTTTGCTTTTCAAATTCGTGTAGACAGTTATCAGGATTCCCAGATGCAACCCCCTTATAAACACATCCATAGTCACAGAAGGAGAGGAGGAAAGATGGAAACCCTGAGCAGAGCCAAGCCCCACCACCTTATCACGGTCCTAGCAAAGTCCATCCCCCAAGGGCTCATCAGCTGAGGAGCCAGTAGTTCTCTATCTAGACTGGGGCAGCAGGGAAAGCTGAGGGCCCTGGTTGGGGAAAGGCTGGTCCTTGGAGAGGTATGAATGTGCAGGTAGAGAAGGCAAGAAGAGCATCCTTACCTCCTCACCCTAAGGCACTGAAAGGAAAGGAAGGTAGGAGTGGTGAAGCTAGGAAGGGGAGAACAGATCCCTTGGATCCCCCGGCTTGGGGAAGACAAAATATATAGGAGTGGAGAGGGGTGGGGACTACATATGGGTCCCATGACTGTGCAAAGAGGAGCATCCAAGAGCCACCCCAGTGTGTCCATTACCCATAATGTCCCCTTCACCCTGCTCCAGAGTGGGAGGAAAACACACTGCAGGAGTCAAGGGAGCAAAATCACTAAGGTATTTCCCTGAGCCTGAGGATTAAGGGCTAAAGAAATAAAGCTTTATATACGTGGCAATGTCTTATCCCTTCCTATCCTGCTCCATCCCCCTCAGCCTATATGCTGACCATCCTATTGCTGTGAGGGAGGATAAGGAAGGGTTCAGTTGGCCTAAAATACCCACCCCTCCAGAGGAAAGGGAAAGCCTGTTTACCAGCTTAGTGCCGATGCCCTTTTTATCACCATCACTCACACCCCTCCAGTCTTAGGGCTGAATAATTGGGTCCCCCCCTTCCAGGAATGAGGAATTCAAGGCTTGGCAGGGCAGAATAGGCCTGGCCAGGGCAGGCAGCAAGTGTGGTTTCTGGTCCCTTGTGGACCCAAGCTAACAGGAGCTGGTTTGCAGGTTGCTCTCCGTAAGCAGTGATGCGATGGAAGAAGGGTCGTAGACACTGTCAAATTCCTCATCTGAGCTCAGCCCTTCATGCTGGGTTGACTCAGCAGCTGAGCGGGAGGCTTTGCGCCTGAGAGAGAGGAATACTTGTAAGGGAGGGAGACAGAAAGATTGAGACAACCATGCTTTTCATGCCAAGGACACAGGCCTCAGGGTACAAGATCCCCCACCAACCTGAGATCTGAGGAGATGGGATATATATATAGACAGTGGGCTGAGATACTAAAGAATAACTATACAGGCTTCCAGCCAGGAAGGAGTGACTGCAGAGTCCCATCTTAGAGATCCTCCTCCCTATTCAGCTCCAGAGAACCCATTCCCTTCCCACATGACTATCCTGATTGAACCAGGGGACAGAAAAGCAGCCCATACCAGGAGTCCTTCTCTAGGGTTTTGATCCGGGCCTGGAGCTGTTCATTGACCTCATGCTGCTCTTCCAGCTCACGCTGGGCCTTCTTCCTCAGGCCATCGAGTCGCTCAATCTCCTCTTCTGCTTCATCCACCTGCCGCTTCAAAGCCTTCACCCTCAGGCTTAGCTGGGCAGGATACCAAGTCCCCACATTAGAAAAGTATCTGCTGCTACCATGGGCTGGGACCCTCCCCTGTAGCAATCTTGACAAGGGATTGTTGCCCTAGAAAAATATCGTGACAATGGGCAAGTTCCCTAACTTCACAGGTTTGTTTTGGGGATTAAATGAGCCTCATACATGTGTAACACTGAGAAAGAGAACCTAGCATATCACACTCAATGCATGTGCTTACTATGACTGTCTTAATCCAGTGCCTCCAGTCTAGTCTCCATCCTTACACAAGGAGAGTCAAAGCTAGGAAGACCTATGAGATGGGGCCTCCCTTGGCCTTCAAGCAAATACACATATGGTATATGCCTACCATATGGGTGCTTGGCCCCGGCTACCATCCTTACCTGGTCCTTCTGGTCATTGACATGCTGCCGCTCGTCATCAATTTGGATGGACAGCTCTTTAACCTTCCGCTCCAGTTTTCGGTTGGTGGACTGCAGAACGGTCTTCTCCCTAGGAGGGTATGGTAGGGGGTTGTCTATGGCTGTTGCCATTTCTAAAGGAAACCCTAGTTGGCCTCCTCCAGCCTCCATGAACTCCTCTGAGTCACGTCACACTAGGGAGGATCCAGGGGCAGAACCAAAGAACTGGGGAGATAAGGTCATTCACATTTCAGAAGTTCTGCAACTCCCTCTGCTCTTTACCAAGAGAAAGGATCCCCCTAAAGATCAGGCCAGGTTGGCCATGTTTGACATGCAAGACAGAGAAAAGCCCAGAGGGAGAGAGGGAGGATGGGCTCACATCACCTCTCTTCAGCCTGCAGCCGCTCCTGCAACTCCCAATTCTGGGATTCAAGCTGAGAGAGGCTGGCACTGGGCTTCTGGAAGCCTTCTAAGCTGGCCAACCGGCTCTTCAAGTCCTTGTTCTGAGAGGGACAGAAAGTCTTCGTGGTCACACTCCACTTCTGATCCCTCCTATGGTCATTCTACCTGCCTCCTGGGGTCTATCCCCAAGACTCCTTA